CTTAAAAAATAAAAACATTTCCAATAGAACTACATAGGGATAAATTTGACAAGAGATGTGAAAGACCTATACACTGAAAAGTATTAAACATTGCTGAGAGAGAAAAAGAAGACTTAAATATAGAGAGAAGTATATCTTCTTCATGGGTCTTAAGACTCAGTACTATTAAGACTTCATTTCCCGAACTGATAGACAAATTAAATGCAATCTCAGTCAAAATCCCAGCAGGTTTTTTAAATGGAAATCAACAAGCTAATTCTAAAATTCATATGGAAAATCAAAGGACATAGAATAGCCAAAAGTATTCTGATAAAGAAGGACAAAATTGGAGGTCAAACATGATTTTAAAACTTTTCATAGAGCTACAATAATGAAAAGTGTAGCATTGTTGTAAAAACAGAACATTTAAGGAACAGAATAGAGAGTTCAGATATAAACTCACACATATACGGACCACTGATTTTTGACAAATGTGCAAAGGCAATGAAGTGGAGAAAGGACAGTCTTTTCAACAAATGGTGCTGAAATAATTGGATATCCATTTGAAAAATAAAAACCAAAAGACCTTTGATTTATACTTTCTATCACATACAAAAGTGACTCAAAATGGATAATAGACCTAAATGTAAGAGCTGGAGTATAAACTTCTAAAAGAAAATATAGGAAAAATTTTCTGTGACCTTGGGTTAGGCACTAATTTAGACAAAACACTAAAAGCATGATCCACAAAATAAAATTTTGATAATTGGGACTTAATCAAAATTAAAAACTTCTTCAAATGACTATCCTTAAGAGAATGAAAAGAGTAACCACCATCTGAAAGAACATGTTTACAAGTCATATATCCAGAATATATAACAAATTCTCAAAACTCAATAATAAGAATACAACCGAATAAAAATGGGCAAAGACTTAAACAGATACTTCATCAGGAAGATATATGGATGACAAGTAAGCACATGAGATGATATTCAACATGATTAAGAAGCAAATTAAAATTGCAATGAATACCACTGCATACACATTAGAATGTCTAAAAGACTGACCATACCAAGTTTGATGAGGACGTAGCAACTGAAGCACTCATACCCTCCTGGTGGGAAAGCAATATGGCACAACCACTTTAAAAAACAGTTTGTCAACTTCTTAAAAAACTGAATATACACCAACCTATGAGTCAGCTATTCCACTTCTATGTGTTGATTCAAGAAAATAAAATATATGTGTTTACACAAAGATGAACATTCATAGCAGATTTATTTGCGATGGCCCAAGACTGGAAACAACCCAAATGCCCTGCAAATGGCGAAATGATGAACAAATTGTGATTAGTCACACAGTGGAATACTACTCAGCAATAAAACAATGAATGAAATTACATGCAACAACATAGATAAATCTCAAAATAATTAGGCTGAGTGTAAGATTCTACTGTATAAAATTCTAAGTAATGCAAACTAATCTGTAGTGAAAAACGCATCAGTAGTGTTCTAGGGATGGGGGGCAAGAAGGGATGGGAGGGAGGAGAAACAAAGGTATATGAGAAAAATTTCAAGGGTGATGTATATGTTCATATCTTGATTGTGACAATTGTTTTCCAGTTGTATATATGACAAGGTCTGTCTGGGAAAAGTCCAGCCATTGTTAATACAAAGAGAATGGTTTGCATGACATTGATATAACCTGGCAGCCAAGGAGAGTGTACTGGAACACATGTGTGAACAATGATGACTTTACTGTGCTAGTCAGTGGGGGTCGGTAGACACTGTTGAGTGAGCATGTGTACTGTGTGGTCATCGCATGCAAAATGACTGAGCGAGTAGAACAACGAATCTCATCAAATTTTGCCTTAAGCTAGAACATTCCTCTGCAGAAACTATTTGGATGATTCAGGAGGCCACAGGTATAAGCAACTGGTGATTGGCAGATTCATCATGACAATGCTCCCACTCATGCATCACATCTTGTGCAGAGTTTTTTGGTGAAACATCAAATCACCCAGGTGACTCAGCCCCCTACAGCCCAGATTTGGTGCCTTGTGACTTCTGGCTTTCCCAAAATTAAAATCACCTTTGAAAGGGAAGAGATTTCAGACTGTTGATGAGATTCAAGAAAATTTTACGATGGGGCAGCTGATGGTGACTGGGAGAACTGTGTGAGGTCCCAAGGTGCCTACTCTGAAGGGAACTGAGGTGTCTTTGTGCTATGTACAATGTTTTTTGTATCTTCTTCAATAAATGTTTCTATTTTTCATATTGCATGGCTAGATACCTTCTGGACATACCTCATATATGTTAAAACATCAAATTGTATATTTTAAATATGTGCAAACTCTATGGAGGGTAAGTGGGATTTCCACTCCCAAGTGAGAAGATGTCCACATCCAAGTGGGAGATCATGCCACCTGGTTGCATGGTTCAGTCAGCGCCATCATTCCACTGTGTGCTGCTGCTTTGCTTGTCTGGCTCTCTGCGTGGGCTATTGGTGCCCTCCATGGGAAGACATCAGTTCCTACACAGTATACCAAGGATCTCCATTTACTTAGGATCAGGTTGTAGCTTTTTGCTCTCAGCTCCATACATAGGAGCACTGTGTATGAATATATTTCACTGGTGCTTTGTTCATACATGTAAAAACTCTTCACTCCCTCTCTTTGAGTATCCTCTTCCCCTAAGAGTTGGGCCTTTTTTGCCAACTCTAGAAACACAAAGGATTTAGTCCAAGCCATTTCTCTGATAATAAAACATGATAGACTCAGGTTTGGTATACAGGGGACTGACCTATTTAATAAACATTGTCATGACTTCCTGGGCTGGACAATTTCTCATCTTTACACTTTGAAAGCAAAAGCCTGATACTTCTGGACAATAAAGCAGAGGTTTCAAAATGACAGCCTACAAGTTATAGCCTGAGGTAGATGTGGTTTTTTTTTTGGTCCATACTATACTTAAAATATTTTTTAATTATTGCCAAAATTTTAAAAGGACAATTCCATATAAAAATTTAGATTTCCCTCTCTTCTTTAAAAATAATATCTGAGCCCTGGCTGGTGTGGCTCAGTTGATTGAGCACTGGCCTGTGAACCAAAGGGTCATTGGTTTGATTCCCAGTCGGGCACATGCCCGGGTTGTGGGCCAGGTCCCCAGTAGGGAGCACACGAGAGGCAACCACACATTGATGCTCTCCCTCTCTTTATCCTTTCCCTTCTCTCTAAAAATAAATAAATAAAATATTAAAAAAGAAGAGATCTGATATCATTGCTGCAACATTCTCATATGGTGACATTTGGCAAGATCTGAACAGCAACTTCTTCCTTTAGGCCGAGAATAGGGGTGTACAATCTCTGGTGTGTCTGAATCCACATTTACCTGGCTTCTGTCATGTCACATACTTGCTTGACTCTTCTGTAGCATTTGAGGTTATAACCCCTACAACATAATTGCCTGTACCTTAAGGATCTGTTTACCCTCTGAATAATGGCCCCTGAAAATATCCAAATCCTAACATCTGGACCCTGCGAATGTTTCCCTACATGACAAGAGATTGTGCAAATGTAATTAAATTAAGGATCTTGATATGGAGAGATTATCCTGGATTTTGCACCCAGGCCCTAAATGCAATTACAATTGTCCTTACAAGAAGGAGGCAGAAGGAAAAGGCAATATGGCCATGGAAGCAGGTGGAGAAAAGCCAATGTGATGAGCAGGGCCATGAGACAGGAAGGGCAGCTTCCAGAAAATGGAAAAAGCAAGGCAAAGGGCTCACTTCTAGAGCCTCTGGAGGGAGCATTTTCTTGCAGACACCTTGATTTCAGCCCAGTGAAACTGAGTTCAGATTTTTGACTTCCAGAACAGTGGGAGAATAAATGTGTGTTGTCTGAAGCAACTAAATTTGTGGTAGTTTGTTACAGCAGTCATAGGGGACTCATACACCCTCCCTGGATGTGAATGTGAGTTTGGGAGGAGACTATCTTAATTGAATTTACTTCCTATGGGCAACAAGGGAACCCGCTAGTATCTCTTTTGCTAAAAGCCATATAAACAGAAGACAAGTAAATCTTTAGTAGGCCACTTAAATGCTGTGATCCTTCCTGTAATGCTATTGCACGTTCTCCCATGTTAAAGTAGTTCACAGCTCAGGGGTTTTGCTTTTAACAGGTTACCCCCAGGATCATATTGGGTTTACTCAGAGTGATCAATTCTCTATCCACCATGTAAATGAATAGAAGGACACCTAAATATCACTTTATAGGTTTATTACCATCTACTTTCCTTCATCACCACTGGAACCTATAGTGGGAAAAGCTGATTAAATAATTTGAGTTGCTAGGAAAGAATCCCAAATACCCATATAGTGAGTTGGATGTGTAACAGTGAAAAATTGTAACCCACCTCACCATTCTTTTGACATTGCTTCTGTAAGTGCTGACTCTGACTAATATGTAGCTTGTGGATAAACAGCGTGTTTGTATAAGAATACTAGGAACTAATATCAAAAGATACAGACTCCGACCTTCAGACATCCGAGCTCCGGGAGATTTGCTGACCTTCATCAGTGGAGCCAGGATGACATGAAGACTGGATGACATGAATCCATGATGCATGATGACTAAACCAGGATGACACACACTGGACCATCTCTTGTCTTAACAGATTGGACTGTGCTAGTCTGCATGCAGAGAACTTTTCAGCCCCTTCCCTTGATCTCTTTGTTCTGTTCCCCTCTCCCTCCTTATGAAATCCTCTGCCTGCACTGAGATATGGGGATGCATTTTGGCCAGCACCTGGATTAACCCACTTTCCTTTTACATCAGCAGCTACCTTGCGAGTATTTGCTTTTGTAGCGGCAGGAAGCTGGGCCTGCATTCAATTATAGATGGACAATGTGGAGAAAGCTAGATCACATTGGAATTTATCTACTCCAATCCTCCAATGAATCTATAAAATATTAGTTTAGGAAAGTCAATTTTAGTCATAAATTTGAATTGTTTCTTCTCTCAGTTTAGAAGAGAGAAATAAACATTTGGAAGATTTAATTAAGAGGCCCAGAGATAGAGCCAGAAAAGCAAGGTAAGTTTTTTTTTTCTTTTTATAAATAATGTCTTGAACTTTAGAATATATGTATAATAATAAGTAATACATTAAAAATTTTAAATTTTATTTATTGATTTTAGAGAGAGGATGGGAGAGAGGGAGAGAGGGAGAAAGAGAAGGAGGGAGAGGGAGGAAGAGAGGGGGAGAGAGAGAAACATCGATTTGTTGTTCTACGTATTTATGCATTTGCTGGTTGATTCTTGTGTGTGCCCTGACCTGTGGACTGAACCTGCAACCTTGGTGTATAAGGATGACACTCTAACCAACTGAACTACCAAGCTGGGGCATAAATAATACATTTTTAAAAGCTTTTTAAAAATCTCAATGTAAGATAAACAAGCTATTATATGAATATGCTTGTTTTTTGCCTAGTATAAAATAGTTTCTTAATAAGTTTTTTTTGTATGATCTGAATTGGAAAGCCAGGTCCCTGCCCTCATAGAACTTCTGATCACTTCTATGGAAGACACTATAAAGATTATGAGTTAAGATTTTGTCTGCAATAAAACAGCTTATCCTGCTATAAATACATAGCAGACCAGATTTTCTTCCACTAACATTAACTCTTGTTAGCATTTGATGCTACATGATATGTTTGCTGACCTAATGGGGTTAAGACCATAGTAGGGTTTTAAAATTGGACTGTTCCTGGCCTAATTCCTGAGCTGCTAACAGTTACTAGTTCCCAAAATGACAGTGAGTTTTCCCCCATGTGCAGAGGTTCTGAAGGAAATTTCAAAGAACTTGCTTCATGACTCATATCCCTTGGCCAGATCCAATACGTAAAAAGTGCAGAGAGTGAGGAAGATGAGAGAAGAGGTTTCTTTGACTCTGTCAGGTTGTGAGCTCCCATTTACCCCAAGTAATTCTACCTCTTTTACCTAAATGCTTGTGAAGGGGTTTCTAGGAGATCACCTAAAGAGCTTTGAAGTGCTTTTTCTAAAAGTTGGGAAACAGGATCAGTGACGCACTCACACCTGAGAAAACTAAATAAAGCAGGCTGCAGCAGCACCAGCATAGAGGGGCTGTGACGGGTGGCCTGTTCTCCTTGAGACTGTAATCAGCACAAAGGATGTATGTGACAGTTTCTTAAGAACTACGCAGGTGCGATCTGAGTTATTCTGGGCTCTGCCCAAGGTTACCTGGGAGGGTACCAGCAGCAAGAAGCTACTGAAAAGGAACACCCAATTCTTTGGGCTGATGAAAATATATCAAGTGACCACCAGAGGACAGATACATCAGCCTGGGGAAAGGTAACTGTAGGACAGAGGTCCTTAGCAAAGGCAAGGTCCAAAGACAGAGAATCAGCTTTAGCCATTTGCCAAGCCCAGAGACTAAGTAGCCACCCAGCCATGTAAGAATGTCCTGTGGCCTTACTTTCCCCTCTCTCCTGCTGTAAATGGAGGAGCCTGTGAGCAAAGAGAGCAGAAACTGGCCTCCAAGGGCAGGTGGTGTCCACCAACTAAAGCCTTAATTGAGACACAAGGAGGAGAAGTTCTATTTTTGAATGATAATTAAAGGGTTAATATTTATATTTGAAACTGGGCATTCTGCTTACTGAATTGAAACTGTATTTATGCTGCACAGTGAGGACTGACTGTTGCCTTAGAGTGAGTAAAAAAAAAAAAAATCATTGGGCCTGCCGTGTAGTCAGCCAATGGCAAAGGAAAAGCTTCCTCCCTGAGTGACAAAAGTCTAAAGTAGAAAGTAGAGGCAGACATTAAATTTGCATTTTGATTTTGTCATGGGTCATGTTTGTTTAGCATACCATTTACAAATACAACTGTGTTTTAAAAATCAAACCCCTTAGCAGATTTATACTAGTATTTGCAAAGTAATAGGTTAACTACAATATTTTTTTCTTAATATGAAATGGTATGATCTGATGCTTGGCATATCACAGATGCTCGGCAATTGCTACTTTAAACTGAATGTGAATCTTCTCAGTTGTTGAGAGAATCTGTGAAATATTTTTTCTAGAATTATTTTAAAACAAGAAAATTTGGACGTAGAAGTACACATTTTTCCCTGGATCAGATGTTTGTTTACTGTATAAATAACATGTGGCCTATGTTCGCAACAAATTTGAGGCCCATTTGTATAGATGAAACTTGGCTTTGAAGCAAGTGGGTGAGGTGGAACAGAAGAGCAATTACAGCTCTTTCCTAGAAAACTTAAGACTTACATCAGCCTTCAGCCGCCACTGTCCACGAAGCCTTTCATTGGCCTATTGACTGCACTGAATTTAGCATGGGAACATGCTGCAGACTACCTCTGCATCATCTCAAAATTATGATGCTGCTTTTGCCAATTGTCTTCAGTAGAGGAAAAAATGGGATGTAGGGAGAGAAAAGTGGGCAGTTTAATAGTCTCAGATACCTTATTTTGGCTTCTAGTTCTTAATCACTTTCAAGGCAATTTGTTAGGTTCTCAAGTCATAGGCAGAATTTTATCCTAAGTAAATCTATGAGAATGTTAAAAAGTAATAAGACTGTGACTCAATAGATTTACTTACTAATGAGACTGTGACTCAATAGATTTACTAAGTAAATCTATGAGAATGTTAAAAAGTAATGAGACTGCGACTCAATAGATTTACTTACAGTGAAAATGATTCATACATACTGAAAAGCTTTATCTTAATCTTTTAGGGTCTTATAATTCTATACCAAATGACAGTTTCTTATTGAGTGAGGGAAAGAGTATTTTAAATAACAGCACACTTGGTTCACTATATATTTTAGTTCTCTGCCACTTTCTATTTCCTGCAGACCAAGAAGATTAGAAAATCATCCAAAATTCATGACCATGGTAGGTCATAATGATGTTCATGATAAAGAATGTTACATTGCCATGTATTTTCACATTAACACAAGATTAGATACTTGTTCCCAAAGTTACATTTCAGTAGTGCTCTGCTTAGCTTTCTCCTCTTTCCTCAGACAAGAATATGACCTCTGACTGTAGTTCATTCTGTGATTGGGAGCCCCTCCCTCTGGACCTTTCCCAAACTCCATCCCACAGCCACTGCTTCATGGCAAGCCCTCATCCTTTTTCTTCTGGCCTACCACAGTCATCTTCTAACTGGTGTTTCTCCCTCCAGGTTTTCTCCCTGCCTTCTGTCTTCCACAGAGAGAGAGTGGTCTTTCAGAAGCAAAATATGATTATGCCCTTCCCCTACATAAACCCGTCAGTGGTTCTCAGTTACATTCAGGATCAAATCCAGTCTCAGCCCAGCATATAAGATCCTTTATGGTCTAGCCTTTTCCTTCCTATCCAAACTTCTCATTCACTGCTTCCTCCTTGTCATTACACACACCAACCACATCTAACCACTTGAAACTTTCTAAACGTGCTGTTTTTTGTATGCCTTCTCGTTATTGCCCATGCCGCTTCCCCTGCCTGCAATGCTCTCTTTCCACTCCTTTCCTCCCCCTTACTTCAGTTCCCGCCTCACAAGCATCTGCCAGCTCAAGCTCCATCTCCTCTATGAAGTCTTTCCTGACTTGTCTACCACATAGAATTGACTTGCTTCTTCCCATGTTTCCACACTGTACTCCCTGATGCAACATCCCTAACATTTCATTACAGTTCTCTGCTTACCTGTCCTTTGACTTGACTAGAGCTCTTTTAGTGCAGGAATTGTCTCATATGTGTTTTGGTATCACCAAGCACCTATTCCATAATAGGTACTAAACAGGAGTGAATGTTAGACTGGCTTGGGACCCAGGACCAAAGTCACATTCATTGGTGTAATTTCTAATAGAAGACATAGCTGCTACTGTCACTTCCTCTCCCCTGCCCCAGGCCATGGATATGTATTCATAAATACCACGGCCTATTTGTGACATAGCTCTGTGGAGGAGGGGTACAACCAAAGGTCTTCACTCTGTATGCCCCATTGAGACCCAGCTGTTGGAATAATTGAGTTATGAGGACATCTTAATAGTACCGATTCTTAGTTATACTGTGCTGGTGAGTCACTTGGTGGGACTATTAGAGGCTTGCTTCTATTCCTTTTTCATAAATCTGCCAGCTGGCAGACAAGCCAACGAAGATGAAACACAATGGCCTTGTTCCTTATCATGTTCTTTAATGGGAAAAAAATTGAACCAAAAAAAATAATGATTAAAATATAGTATTGATATTATTTGCTATGTTCATCTATCTATAGGTTTTCCTTGTATCACTTTTCCATATAGAATCAACAATCAGTTATTCTGTCACTGAATGCCTGTCTTTTCTGAAAAACTTAACTTTTTTTCCTTTCATTTTTAGATGCCAGATATGTTAGAAGGAAATAAAAATGATTTAAACAGGACTGAAGATTAAACATTAATCATTTTTGTCACCCACTCCAGGAGCAGAGTCACTAAGTATAGTACCCAGATCCACTTGTACAAATGATACATTAAAATTGCATAAGTGGTGAAATTTTACATTCCAAAAAATGTGATTACTTTCTAATTTCGTCCTGTAAACAGTCAAACATATTCTACTTTAATAAAACTAGATGAATATAATGGCTTATTTTCCAAATATCTATTTTCATTTTCACAGAATATCACTCTCACATGATCAGGTCTTTAATGACACATAAAAATAGTCACGTGTCTCACTTCAACCTCCCCTCTCCCCCCACAAGACATCCTTTTCCTTTCCAGGCAGGTAGGCTCTTCCTACTGGTAACCAAACTTAAAGGGACACTAATTTCAAATCCCCTGAAATTAAACCTGAGATGAAAGGAGAGTACTGGTCTTTTGAGACCTAACCTTTTTAATTTCCACCTATTCCTCTAATAGTTTTGAGGAATTAGTTCTAAATTTAAACAAAGGAACCAGAGATGGCTGATTTTGTGAGATGTATCAGAAAGATAAGGGAACATTAACACACTTATTTTCCTTTTGATAAATCTGAAAACCAGGATATAGGTGTAAGTGTTGAATCAAAAATATACCTTAAGTGAAAATGGAAGAAATTGTTTTATCCCATGGAAACTAGTTTTGAACTTAAATTAGTCAGGTAAGTACAAGAGGAAAATGTATCTGCCCTGAAGAAAGTACTGAATTAATAGAAGCTGTTGTTGTTGTTGTTGTTGTTGTTCTTTTTTGGGGGGGTATTCTTTAAGACAGGTATTACATGAATTTTGAAACATAAAATGTGTTTAATTTCTGAACTTCAAAAAATTGCAATGAATTTAAGACAAACCATGAAAAATGTACAGAGAGTTTACAAGTGTAACAGTGTTTCAGAAAATTAAGCATTGAAAGCTTTGGAAATGATTCAAGTGTTAAAAAGAGAGATTATACTATCATCATCATCATCATCATCATCATCAGTTTCATAGTATCCTCTAGGGAAAATTTAAGTATTATAGGAGAAAGTCCAACATTAAGATAAAGATGGCTAATGCAGCGTGCGCGATCAGCACACGAATGTGATGAAACAGTTGGGTTGTAAGGATTAACACAGGTGTCTATATGCAGGGCTGTGTGCCTAAGTGTTACATTTGCCATGTATATTATTAGACATTTGTGATCTTTTACTTACAGGTTGTCTCAAAATAAATGTGCCTCCTTTGGTGCATGGCTCAAGGATGCAGAGTCTAAGGCAATCCTTTCAATAAACATTTAGCGACTGTCAATAAACTATGTGACAGCCTCTGTGTTAGATGCCAAGAATACAAAGAAAAATCAAGTGAAGATGATCACCAAGGACTACATAATCTTTTGGGGGAGACAGATTAATAAATTCTGTTGTAGAATGGTGTAGGTATAATGTATAGCTGTAATGTATAATGGTGTAGGACTGCCCAGGGCTCTCTAAAAGCATAGATGAAATGGCCCTGGAGTAGGTGAGAAAATCTCAGGTAATATTTTACAGAAATGGTGGCACCTGAGCCAGATCATTGTAGCTGACTGGGCATCCCATAGATGGAAGAGGAAAACAACAGGGCACGGAGGCCTGAGATACCTTGTTGCATTTCCTAAACCACTTGTACTAAAACCCATGCTCTTTCTATGAGAAGACATGAAGATAATCATGTTAAATGCCATGCTAAAAAAATTTGGTCTTCGTCATATGAAAAGCTCTGAAGGATAAGTACAGGAGTGATGGGATCAGACATGCATTTTTGAAACATCACCCTAGTAATGATATAAAGGGTAGGTTAATGATGGGTGATGCTAGAAACAGAAGTACCAGTTAAGATACTGCTATAGTGCTCCAGGCAGGAAAAACTGAGTCCAGGAACTAAAACAGTGGCAGGAGGCAGGGGAAATGAAGAGGAGGATATAGGTGCAAAGTGATTTCAAAGGTGAAATGAAAATGATTCCAGAATTGGTTAACTATGGGAATGAAGAGACCTGGCAGAGTTCTAGCTGGGTGGTGGTCATCTTAACCGAAGGAAAGAATACAAGAGGGACAGCTGGCTTGTGGAGAAAGATATGCTGAGTGTGAGGTTGCTGTGAAACATTGGGGAGATATTTAATAAGTAGTTATATATATGTTGAGAAGGATCCAGTGGTCTGGGAAGGAACTGAAGATAAAGGACAAAGTTGGAGTAACTGATGAGTCAAGATCTCAGAGGAGAAAAGAGGAACTAGTTTCCACAGGACAGTGTAGGAACAGGGACACTTCTTCTGAGACTGAAGAGAGAAAATCAGGACAGGTATTGCTCAGCAACTATGACCTGTGATGTAGTAAGTTGAGGGAGCTTGTATGAGGCTGAAAGCTTCATTCTCTTCTGTCAGCTGGAGGCTAGAGAGAAGAGGCGAAGGTTAGAAATAGTCACAGCTTTTGTCTCCACAGAGTAGAGCTTTGGTTCTCACCAGAGGGTATTGCAAGGGGCTACAATTTTCTCTCTGCCTCAATTTCTTTATTTTTGTTCACTTTTTTCTCCTTTCTAGTCCCTTGTTCCCTTGATTCTGACCCATTGCATCTTCTGGAAGACTTGTTCCATCAATGATTTTTACTCTCTTCTACCTTTAGTTTATAACTCCTTATTGAATAACCCTAGCCTAAAAAATAAATATATCCTGAATATATCCTTTAGAGGGAATATATCTTTCCCTCTAAAATTGTCATGGTTTCTCCCTTTTCACTTCCCATTATACCTTCTGAAAGACTGTTATTTACAGTTTACAAAGCACATATTATCTTAATCAGGAGGTTATCTCAATTTACGGTGTTCCTGATAAACACTTTTTTCACAGTGGCAGCCTCAGAAGGCCACTCTCATATTTAAAGGCTGTATAATATTCCATGGAATTATTTATATATATATAATTTATTTAATTACGTGTTATGGGCAGGGTTTCAAGTTCTTCCTTCATAGTCCTGCCTTACATGTTCTGGCCCCAAGCTACTTGTGTGCCTTGGCCCATCGTGTTTCCTTTTCTGAGAATGCCATCCCTGTCCTAACTAAACTGAACTTCCTCCTTCCTCCACCTCCACCTCATACTTAAAACATTTGTATCCTTCAAGCCCTAATTTAAATGTCACCTTCATCCGTATCTGAAAGTAATACCTATCTCCTCCATTTTATCTACATTCTTTCCTAAATTATAGCACTTGGGAGATATATACTACAGCATATAGCACTCAACATGGCATCATGAGATGTAAGTTCAGACCCAGCTCCTTCATACTAGCTGTTGTGAGAAACTGAGTTCGTAGTCACAGTATTTTAAGAGTAATTATAAGGCAGTGTTACTATTAATGTAAAAATGTAAATATTTTATACATTATGTCTCTCTTTAATAGATTATAACATTTGCCTATAAAGATACAACTCAGTATGAGTCAGTGACATATATATTTCAAATTTAGCAGATCCCATCTGAAATATACAACGACTTTGGGAGTTAGTGTGAGTTCATGATTGTATCTTATTTAGGGGTAAGTTGTTAAGCTGGACTATCTTCCTGTATTTAGCAAGGCTGAGCTTGCATGAAGAACAATTAGAATTTTTTTTTTAATTGTTTTACTATGACATGGTGAAAATACAGTTGGGGATTCTTATAGGAAACAAGGCCAAGATCAAAAATGTTACAGAAACAGAATTTCCAAGATTTCACAGCACAAGTACTCCAGTGATGCATTCCTGCACTTCCATTTGGACAAGAGAATACGAACAACCCCGACAAAAGGCTTTGGTACTGGAAGAATGGTGTTTAGGAAAAACTCAGTTCTTTCCCGCGGTTCTCCTTCCCTCTCACTCTCACTCTACTACCACTTCCACAACACTTCTGACACCACATTTGTGGTGGGTTTTCCCCCACCAAGCAATTCTCTGCAACAGCTGGCTGTCCTAGAGTCGAACTGAATTCTAACACGATGTACCTGGAAATCGCATCAGATCCCACAGACCAAGGGCTCAGTCCCAGAAGACTGCCCTCACCCCATTTCAAATGCTGATCCCAACTCTAGGTTGTCACCTGTGCTTCTGACTGATCGGCTATAAATCAGAGGTTCCTAATGACCCCCTCTTTGGGGTCGATTAACTTGCTAGAGTGGCTCACAGAACTCAGGGAAACGCATTTACTAGTTTGGTAAAGAAAACAGAGGAACAAACAAATGAAGAGATATACAGGGTTAGGTCTGGGAGCTCCTGTCCCCGTGGGGTTGAGGTGTGTCACCCTCCCAGCACTTGAATGTGTTCACTAGCTTGGAAGCTCCCTGAATACCGTACTTCTGAGATTTTACGGAGGCTTTGCCATGGAGGCATGATTGATTATTAACTCCATTTCCAGTTCCTCTCCCTTTTCTGGAGAATGGAGTGTGGGGCTGAAAATTCCAAGCTTATAATCATGGTTTGGTCTTTCTGGTGAGCAGCCCCATTCAGAAGTCCACCCAGAGTTGCCTTGTTAAAACCAAAGATGCTCCTAGTGCTCTTATCACTTAGGAATTTACAAGGGTTTCAGGAGCTCTGTGCCAGGAACTGGGGCGGAAACCAATGTATATTTTTTCTATTATCTTACAAATAGGTATTAAAAACTACAGTACATAAACACATGAGGGATTACTATAATTAAGATCTTTTTTATACTTGTCCCTTTATTGAGGGATGATTTACATACCATAAAATTCACCTATTTTAAGTGTACAATGTAATGATTTGTAGTAAATTTTTAGTCATACAATAATCACATCTAGTTCTAGACTATTTCCATCTCTTCTAACCCCCAAATTTCCTCTAACCTGTTTGCAGTCAATCACTGCTTCCACTCCCGATTTCCCGATTTTCTCCCGATTAGTCTTTTCCCAGGGAACATGCAGGGTTATTAGGACAAACTGATCAACTGCTGCGTTTGAGCTGAGGTGTTGAGGTGACCACTTGGTTAAGCTTTGGT